CAGGATGTGGCAGCTGTCTGTACTGCTCATACGTGGCCAGGACCAGCCAGGCTGAGCAGCCGTGAAGCCTGGGCTCAGAGGGGGCCAGGGTGTGGCAGCCGTCTGGGTCCAGCCAAGTAAGTGTAAAGAGCTTCCTCCCCACGCTGGCCTCAGCTGGCAAGAGTCTGAGGCCTTGCAGCTCCCGAAGCCTGTCCATGGAGACTCAGAGGAATCTCTGTCTGAACGGGGAGGAGCAAGCCTGTCTCCTCCAGACCAAACAAGTCACTTGGTTCTTACCAGCTGGTGGAAGTGGGCAGGTTGGGGGAAATGTTTGGGGCGTTTTTCCTCAAGTGGGCAGTTGTTAGCATGTAACTAGGCTTTATGCTCATGAAGAGGTCCTCCCAAATGAGAGGAAGGATGGAAAATGGGGCCCATTTCAAGGCTGTGATATGGAGGGATGTCACCTACTTAGCTTTCAGGGGCCACAAATCCATCAGCTCCCAGAACGAAGCCATCATGGATGGTGGCCAGACACGGGCATCCGACGCTCAGAGGCCTTAAAAGATGACATCACCACTGAGCCCAGCCCAGCTGTCATATTCAACCAGAAATGTAGGCTGGATTTTTAAAGTCTCTATTTTTAGTATTTCTTAGGTCCTAGGGCTTTATTGACCTGGCAGAACTCTAGCTAATGTCTCTTCCACTTAAAAACCGCAGCCCCCGCCCCCAGCCCAGCTCTCCATCAGCTCTGCCCCAGGGGTTGGGCATCATTTACCTGAATACCATCCAGCAGCTTGCTCAGACACCAGTAGCTGTCAGCTTCGATGTTCCGCAGCACCTCTGCCGGCACACAGGAAACATCCACATTTTCCACTTCTTCTTCTGTGTGGGAGAGAACATGGAAAAGAAAAATCACAATGGACAAAAGGCAAGGAACTGCTGGGTGGGGAAACTGAGGCCGAAGCACACAAGTGACCAAAGAATGTTGGCAGGGACTTTGGTCACAAAGTTCCCCAGGTGACGTTTCTCTTAACTCTCTCCAAATGAATAATGCATTCCCCAACCCCATCACTTAATGGTTCGCCATTTTAATAACTAATTAGCTGCAGATAATGAATATTCTGAACCTTCTCCGATTAACTAGCATAATTAATCCACAGTCAGGGATGCCTTCCCAGGCATTTCAGAACTAAAAGAAACATCATTAGTAATGAAGATACCTATTTGGGGAGATTTACTCCGGCTGGAGAAATGCAAAGTTTGCCACTGGGAGGAAAAAGCTCCATTTCAGGCAGACAGACAACAGACGGCCAGGTCAAATGGATTCAGTCAGTCCTCCACGCCACCCTCTGCTGGCACCTCCGTCCAACAGCCTTGGCAGGGGGCCATGACAAAAGAGCGAGCCCTTCCAACCAGCCTGGGCACCCCGTAACTGAAAGATGGCACGTCTGCCAGCTGAGCACCAGCCTAGCAAGGGCTAGAGAAACAGGGCCGGCTGACTGCAGAATGAGGAATTTTCTGGCCTTAACAAGCCGCAAACACCATCTAAGCAATCTGCACCAAGGAGGGGAGCACACCTACTGAGGGAGCCTGTGATCTTCGAAGCCTGGCGAAAGCGTTCCGCCAAGATCTCCGCCAGAAACCACCTCGCCTTCCGATGAGGCTCCTTTCCCAACAGCACAGCCTACTCACGGCCTGGTCCATAATCACCCAAGAGCGAAGCGAAGGGGCCGACAGGGTGCCAGGGCAGCAGACGCCCTGCGAGTTGCCTCAGAATGTCAGAAAATAAAAAGAACTCCCATTTCCCTAAAGCTTTAAGAAGTCAAAAAACTTGCCTCACTCGCAAGAAGTCGCGTCAAGTGAAGTCAAGAAGCATTTGTTTATTAAGTACCTACTATGTGCCGGGCATTTGCTAAGTGCTGGACATAGAAAGAAAAGCAAAAACCACAGCCCCTGTCCTCAAAGAGCTCCCAGTCTGAGGGAGCCAACATGCCAGCTTCTCCATACAAACAAGCTGCAGAAAGGATAAACTGAGCACAGGCTTGAAGGAACGGCTCTAGAACCGAGAGGGGTGGGAAGAGGCTTCCTGTGGAAGGCGGGGTTTCAGCTGAGCCTTAGAAGAAGCCAAGGAAGCTGGAAGGCAAAGACGAGCAGGGAGAGCTCTCCACGCGTGGGGGACAGCCAGCGAAAAGGCCCCGAGCCAAGAAATGGAGCCTCTTGTACAAGGGGCCTACTGCACGAGCTCTGTATTGATTACTACATTTGGCTCCCTGAAAATGACCTTTCTGTAACTTTGGCAGGCGGGTGGGGCTGGCCCGGCCTGAACACCAACATAAAACCCCAGTTCCCACAAACAAATCCACACGACTCAATGAAGGATTTTCTGTCTACCTCTCCATGGCCTGTTGCAGATGTCCTCTATGGAGGGACTTTGATTGCATTCTTGGAAGCTAGACGTCTTCATTTTCAGCTGCATTCCTCAAGTTCAGTCACATGTACTCACCATCAGCTTTGACAATGACCACTGTTTGGTGAAGTGATCCCTCCACAGTCACAAAGATTTTCTGCTGGGTTTTGACCATTGACCTTGCACTCCGAGAACGTGTGTCAGTCCTCTCCCCTCTTCTGGTGAGGGTGCATCTGCTTTTCTATGCACAGCAACGAGCCCCGGGCTTCCATGAGGACACTTTGCCAACCTGAGAGGGTCCGTTTTCTGTTTCCAGAGCTGTCCATGCAGACTGGCGCTGGCCATGGGTTCACTACTTTAGAAGCGTTCCTCCCAGTCATTTTGATTCCAGGAGGCCAGCAAGTCTCAGAACATTCAAGCCAGCCTTCTCCCAGATGGTGGGCAGATGCTAAAGTATAAATATTCCCCTCCATCAGTGGCTCACGGGACTGCAGTAATTACGGTCTTCAGGCTCTGCCTTCCATTGACATACACTAAGAATTTAAATTTATCAAGTCCAAACGACACTTTGGTACCATCGTGGAGAGGTTCCAAGAGGTGAAGGAGCTTTTAAAGCGATTTTCAGGTGGAGCCCATGGGGTGGCTTGCTATCATCCCAATACATCAAGTGGCTGAGAAGGTTTCATCATTTACTGTGGTGGTTCCCGTCACCCGTGGATATGCCCAGGAACAGACCAGATCGCTTCCCATTCTCCACCAAGGAGCAGAGGCCCTGACATACAGTAAGACAAGAAGATCCATCTCCGAGGCTGAGCTCTGTCTTTCCAGTGTTGGCCAGGCCACCGGAGGCAGGGTAGGGAAGGATCAGTATGGAGACAAATACCATGTCTACCACTTACCCCTGGGTGACCTTGGATAAATCCCCTCCCCTCTCAGGCACTGGCTTCTAGCTCTGTAACATGAGAAGGCTGGACCCAATGGACTTGGAATTCCCACCTTATTCAGGTCAATAGTCCTGGAAAACAGTGCTGGCTGATAGCGGAGCAGTAGAGCTTCTCTAATCAGTGCCCACAGCAGGTCCACGGGAAAGGAGGAGACGTGGGGCCACGGAAAAAGCGGGGACTCAGGAGGACCTGAGCTACAATCTCAGCTCTACCACTCACTACCTGTGGACCCTCAAGAAATTCGGTCACTTTTCTGGACCTCAATTTCTTCATGGGAAAAACGGGAGGAATAACTCTGGGTTGTGTTAAGGAAAGAGTTTTGTAAACTCCAAGTGAGAGTGACTCATAATATACTCAACCTAAGCAACCTACCTATCGAAATAATGGCTACATCATTTATAATAATATTTATACAACCATCAGAGGACACTGGCCGGGCATCTTCCCATCTAAAAGCATGGCTTAGTTGCCTTCAGAAAAAACTCAATTGCTATCAACTTGGAATTAATTGGGGGAAAACATTCATCCTGGCGTATTACGGTAAGTAGGTCAGACAGCATCAATAGCAAGGACCTGATATGAAATGTTTTCCTTCGTCATCTCCGTTCTCTCAAAGACCTGTAAAGTAACTAGATGTTGCCTCAGACTAATAAACTGCCAACGTGGAGAACAAAGCGATGGATCAGACGTTGCTACCAGGAGGGCACAGGAACTGCAGAGATGACTTGACAGAATGAACACAACGGCATTGCGGCAGCTGCTGGACCCGGGTCTGGCTCCAGCGGAGCACAGCAGGCCTGGCCCAGGCTCCTGCCGCCCCTCGGGCCCCAGCCGCAGCAGGAGTTCTGCGGGATGCACAACACACCAGAGCAGCGGAGGCTGTGAAGCACTCTCTGCTCATTCGTTACCTCCAGTGAGCCTCCCCCCTGCCCATCTGGGAAGAGATAGTGCAGGCATTCCTTCAGACAAGGAAGCTGGGAGCCGGGAGAGAAGCCCCCTCAATCCTCATAATACCCCAAAGCAGATGTCAAGGGCGGGAGTGGCTGTCCAGGGGAGAAGAGCATCTTCCACGAGAAGAATTTGGGGGCACCTCCCCAACACAGCCCTAGGATCGTGTCAGACCCCAGACAAAGGCCAAGATCCTAACCGCCTCCGTCCCAAAGGTCCCTCTTCATCTGACACTACTCCTCTCGTCGTCTACAATCTGGCCAAACGCGACTGCCTTCTGCCCTGTCCTCTTGCCTTGCGGAAGCCCAAGTCCACAGCCCTGCTCAGGGCAGACTTCCAAGTGACAGTGCCAGGTAAGGCAGCCACCCTAAGCAACCTTCCCAAAAAACACCGGATGCATTATTTACGATGTATTCAGCCACCCAAGGACTCTGATAAACTGCAAGCGGGTGGGCGGCTTCCTGCCAAAAACCTTCAGGAAAAATACAAGCTGAGCCTCGGAGGGAGCCCCTTCCTCCAGGGACCCGCTCAGCCGTCGTCTCCTCCCTTCCTTCCCGGCCTTCTCTTTCCTCAGCCTCAGAATTCTCAGGGCTCACTGCCTGGCCCCCTTCTTGCACCTTTCAGTCAGCTCTGACTTACAGCCACGTGTGTAGGTTAACAGTGGGTTAGTTAGAAATACAGAATTTAAACAACTTGATATCATAGAAAGAAACTGAACAAGTTATATATGAACATCCAAAAGGCAGAAAAACTCAGAACCAAACAGACTCTGTACTGAATTTTATCAAACATTAATTACAATAACAAATAAGTTGTTGGCAAAAATAATAAATGAGATTCTACCAAATTCCTTCTATGACACAGACGTGATCTTGACACATAAACCAAGGAGAATTGAAACAGAAAAAGTGCAGAATATTCCCTAAAGAACAAAGATGAAGGGATCTAAATAAAATATTAGCAAAGAGGCAAAAGGAGTCTATCACCAAGACTATACACTATGACCAAGTTAAATACATACAGGAATTCAGGGCAGGTTTAATATTAGGAAAACTATAAAATTCATTAACCACATTAAGAAAAGCAACAAAAATCTTGTGATTTTTTTTAAATCAATAGTTGCAAAATATGACATTTCTTTTTAAAAATACTAGAAAATATAGGAATGAATTAATATACCTTCCCCAAAAAATGATAAACTGTACATATTGAAATAAAACATTATTTGTAATGGAGAGATAACCTAGAATCCTTTCCACTAAATTCAGAGTGCAGTAAGGATGTCTACCATCACCACTTCTTTTTGGCATAGGACTAGAATCGCTGACTAGCAGTAAGATTAGAGTAAGAAATCGAGGGTATAATCCTAAGAAGAAACAAAATAATCATTTTGCAGATGATATGACTGTGTACTTAGAAAACCTTAATGAGTCGACTAAATTAATGAAATAATAATTTCAGCAAACTCGAAGGATACAAAATAAATGCACACAAATCATTAGCATTTCTATATGATACCAATAAAGACTCAGGAGGAAAGGATAGGAGAAGTTCCACTTTAAATTAATACCGAACACGTAAAA